TTGGACTGTGGCTCCTGCTCTGCGGATAGGCCTTTTACCATATGAGGGAACAACAAAAATGCGGGTAGCCGCTTGTACAAAACTTTTGCACAAAAATAAACCAATGCATTGCGCTTTTGTTGGCCCACAGTACGGGGTTTTTTGGGGGGCCTTTAAAGCATTGCATTCAAGAGTATCTGGCAAAAGGGAAAAACATTTAATTTTAAACGAAAACAATGACGGCAATCGTTTGAGAACGATCCACGCGAACTTACGGCCAATGGGCAACATTAAAAACTTCCGTTTCCGCTGGCAAACAAGCACAAAAGAAGTGCAACGGAAATGCCACAAAGTTCAAACAAGAAGACCAACAAACAAGCAGGAAAACCGCCGGGCAAACACTAACAGTATTAAGGCAGAAGCTAAGGTCCTGCCTGGATTTTTCCTTCTTCATTTCGCTGCAACTCCTGCAAACTCCTTTCTTTTCATTTTTTTTTTTAATGGAACACACTCATTACCAAAATTGCAATAAATTTTTGTGCACTGAAATTATTTGAAGTGCCCCCGCCGCCATACACACACATAAAAACGTCCATTTCGAAATTTACGAGGGTGTCCAAGAAGAATGTGCTAAACTTTTATACGCGACCAGGAGACAGGAAAACGTAACTCGTAGTTGTAGTGTCAAGTGTTTTTGGGCGGTCGATGGTGCGGGGAATCCCCGAAAACAAACCACGATGAGGAAAACGTTTTAATTGCTTTTTGTTTCTGGGGGGGGGAGGGTCGAGAAGCAGACGAAACTGCTTTCGAGGGTTAAGTCTATACAGAACCGAAGCCAACTATCCTGATCGATGAGTTATGGGCTTTTAGGAGAAAATTGAAATATCGGCAGGCAATTGAAAAGCTACGAAGTACAGTTTCTTTAAGTCGAAGTAAGAACTTGTAGGAGGTATAAAACTAGAATGCATAGTTACTTTGTAACTTAGGTTACAGGCTTTTTATTTATATTTTTTTTCAATTACCTTGCTCATGTCCAATATGCATTATTATGTTATTATAAAAAAAATCTTAAATATCTTTAAGCCTCTTAATGGAAAAAAACTCACTTGGCAACTTTTTTTACACTTTTTTCTTTTATTTTTTGTAACCAATCATAATATATTTGTGCTTTTGATGGTTAAAGGATTTTTAAGCCACAGCTTAAAGTAAAGTTGGCAAGATTTAAATGCAAAGGGTCTGTTAATTGCACTTCTCAGTGGCGGAGTACAAAGGAAGGGTCTCACACATGAGTTCACCACCAACTGTCAATGGTTCTCAATGGATCTCTCTTGCCACTTTAATACTCTTTGTGGGCTGACCGTGCCATTCAATTTATTCATATATTTCAATCTTTTTGTTTTTTGTCCTGCGCTCGCAATGATTTATTAATGATGCTTATTATTATTGCTTAATTGCGGATATTTGCATTTCCACACACGGACACCCGGGGGATGTGTGCCCTTCTGTGCGTTACATTGGGGAATTTAATTGGTGCCAAGCGAAAACATTCAACCAGTTTTCTGGCTGCGATTACCGAAACGATTTCAGAGCCGCGCGGCGATTATATTCAATAATGAAATTTAAATAAATTTGCATTTAATGACAACCCCCCATACACATGCAGGCCCACCTAGACGCATATTTGATATGCGGTCGGCTTTTGTGCGCTCAACTTGAAATTGTTTCGGTCTTTTTGTAGACTTTCACGATTTGGGCTTTCAGCGTGATATGAAATTTTAATTAATTCGATTAAGTAGCGGATTTTCCACTAACAAATTGCATGCGAAATGCCATAATGGATTAATCAGAGTATAAATAAACGCAAAAAAGAAAGTGAGCAGAATGATTTTTTTAATGCAATCAGAAGAATTTATTTTTAATTGTCAGAAAGAAGTTCGGTCCTGATGACTTTCAAACAAACCCATTTTAATTTAAGTTAATTTAATTTGGAAATATATTTAAAAAGAGGAGGTTAACAAATTTAAAACCATCTATTATTTATGAAAGCTTATGGAAAATATCACTGGAAGTCATTAGCGCTTAACAAAATTACAAAAATTTAAAAATATTTTTTAATTTTTTTGGTATGAAATAATTTTAAATAGTAAATCTTACATATTTTTATGTAAGAAAATGAACAGTGCGTAATTATATACTTATAAAAATCAACCAAATACTATATTTGTTCCACCAAAAGTTGTCAAGTTACTTTTAACTTCTCTTCTGACCATAAGCCAGGCTATTAAAAATCGATCTATCAATCTTTTCCCATACATACATATGAATGCTGTCATCATGAATTGCACATTTCGATTTTTAAGTGATTTTACGTTAAAGCACATTTAATTAGTGCATTCAAATGAGGTAGACTTAAAACATCACGCTGCGCACAGAGATGATTTTCCTCTTTCATTTGCATGGGCCGATAAATACCATAATCTGTTGTGTGGATCAAACGGAAAATGCCAGTATTCAATACACACTCAAAGAAAATGTAGGGTTTTAAAACCTATTCAGAAGTTAAAGAGTTAATAATGGTATTAAATCCCGAAATTTAAATTTTTTTTATGCACTCAGGGGAGGATAACTGGACAGTTAGTCGTTAATCAACGCACTCAGACCTCCAAAGAGTTGAGCAGACTTTATGTGCATTGTCTCGCTTGATTATACGTCGCACCCCCAAACCGAATGGATTCGCAGTGAATCTGATTCTTATGCAGGTTTTTTACGCGTCCGCGACATGCAGACACATAAATTTAACAGGCTCCAACACAGCCAACACCTCCAGCCGCCAGTGCACTGCGAACAATGCCTGAAAGATTGTCGGCATAAAAAAGATGAAAATATTTTTATATGGTAATTTGCGTCTCGAAAGGCAACCTTAAAGGTGGCCAACACAGTGGGCCCCCACATGAATGGACAGACAATGGGTGCAAAAACAAATGAAGAGCATAAAATTAAATGCGAATCCGAAAACGAAAATGGAGCGTGTTAACCAACCCCAATAATTTAAGCAGAATTTATGGCATTAAGCGTAGCGAGCGAGATATACGCATAATAGTCGAGGAGGAAGGACGAAGGACGAAGGACCTTGGTCAATGGACCAGGCAAATGTTTGGGCTGCTTCGCCGCCCTGTTATTCTTTTCCAACTGCCCCGTCTAATCCTTACAGGACACACAGGACACACGCACAAAGGCCGAGATGCTCCCCACATAAATCAAATGCCAACGCACTGGCTGCGCCAGTGTGGTTGGGTGTTAATTAGTATTTAATCTATGAACCATAAATAAATCCCTTCTGCAAGGACACTCAATTTCCGTTTGCTTGAGCACAGAAGTGAGGCAGTCCTGGGAAATAGACGGGGGGATGGAGAAAAATGCCTTTTGTGCTGCTTAATAAATTGCCAATTCTATGTCAAAGAAGTTAAGTCAACTAATTGCACAGTTTACTTTTTTTGTATGAGACACTCAAGTGTTTATAGGGTAGAGGAAGTGCTTAGGGATGGTAGAGATGGTTCGGTGTGAGAGAAAAATGTAAGAAATGGGATAGAAATATTAAAACAATATTTATAAAGTGTGAGTAACCCTTGATAATAATATCTTTGGTATATTTAGACTTCACCTAATATTTTCTAGTTTAATATTTTTTAGGATTTGATATGATATGAACTCTTCAAATATATAGCATACTTTTCAGAGCCCCATTCTCAGACATCAGAGTATTTAAGAGTCTCCCCTAACTTTTCTTTATCTTCCTCTCACACGATTTCCACTGTGCTGTGTGTTGGTGTCAAGTGTGTGTCTGTGTCAGAGGAAAAGTGTCAATAAACCAGTTTAATTGATTGTGCGCTAAGCTGTTGCCAAACACTGCCAGCTTGATCTGCCATCTCACCCAATCTCCGCCCACACCCACTGTACATACACTGCGGGCCATAAAAGTATTTTCATTTTCATTCCGCGGTGGCGCCATCTGTTGACAGCGGGCGTTAGCTGCTAAACTAATGCTTGACATTTGCATTGCAAATTGAGCATTTTGAGAAGCGCGACAATTACAGCTCAGCCCCCACGACTTTCCACATTTTCCCCAGTCTGTCTTTAAAAGCAATTAGCGATTAGCAGGCGAAACTTTTCAGCTTTTCCTCGGGAAAATCACAGTTGGGGGGGGTTCATTGATGGTTTGAAATGTGCGTATGTTGTCAACTCTACATTAGTTTGATTTGCATTCAGTTCATTTAATTTCAACGCGCTCGACTTTTTTTACATTTTGTATCTGGCTGTCTTGTTTTTGTCTCGTTTTAACTCCCTCGCTTCGAATTTTTCCAATTTGCATTCACAATTGCTCATTGATTTTCGCATTTGGATTTTCTCTTGGCTTTTAAATGCATTTGGCAATTTCCTGACTTGCCGTTTTAATTGTGTGTGCATTAAAATCAACGCAATGATGCATTTTTAATTCAAATTAAAAATCGCTCGCAGCACAGAGGATTTTATGCAAAAATATCCAACGGCTGTGGAATGAAGAAGCACAATCACAATCACAGAACAGAAGGAAACTTGCCGCTGGGCGGGGATTCTGGTTTGGGTTAAATCGGGTTTTTAGCTGGGCTGCCTTTGGTTTTTGCGGTGGAGCGTAAAAGATTCTGGGTCGCGACAATTTAATTTGCTGATGCAAAAGTCAATTAATTTGAGAGGAATATATAATCAGATGATGGCAGGAAATGGGGAGGTGGGTGGGCAGGAAAAGGCAAGAGATAACGAAGACAAAAGGAAATAAGCAAGGAGCTCAAATGGGAATTAAAATAAATATTCCCCTAAGTTCAGCCGTTAAGAATACTTGAGTTTGTGGGTATCAGCAAATGCGAAAAGATCAAGTTTTCAATATTACCATTTGTATATCAAAATTTGCTAAAAATTTTTCTGAACCAGAAATTTATGGAATGCTTTTAATGTCAAATTTTAATATTCTGATGTTACTTCTCACATCAAAACACTTAAACAAAGTACACAAACACACTTAGATAAAGTACAAAATAATCAAAAAAATATGTTTTTAACCACCAAAACACTAGATAAAAAAGAAGACAATGAAAAACGAACTAGCTCAGAAGTACCCAAAAAAGATATTCTAATATATCAACATCCCGAAAGCGATGAGTCGTTCCTTGATGAACGTCCTTCTAAAGTTGAAGAAGTGATTGAGTGCCTAGAAGCGATTGAAAACGCCAACAAAACAGAGTGAGTAGCTAGGTAATATCCAATAAGTATTATCCTATATAAAGAGTTTTTTCCCTAGTTCGTCAAAGAAGAGGGTAAAGTCAACGCTTACCATAAACGATTTGGAATTTCTGGTGACGCAACGAAATGCAAGGAAAACCTCAATTTATCGTCGTGCCAAAGCAAAGAAAGTCCCAATCAACACAGATCAGTTCACCTTTATGCGTCAAATTGATTCAAGTCCAGAGGATCAAATCCTGGCTAGAAAACAGCGTGAAAATGTGGCCGACACTTTTCGACGGATGGGAAATGCCGAGTACCGCAAGTTAAACTTCTCTTTGGCAAAAAACTACTATACAAAAGGTCTGGAATATATTAAAGACACACCAGTTTTGTATGTAAACCGGGCCATGTGCTCTATCAAGTGAGTTTATGGTATTTCATATGATATGTTTTTTTTTAATAATTTGTATTTTCAGAATGCGCGAATTCAAGCTAGGCATTATGGATTGTGACTATGTAATAGCAAAATTAGATGGAAACTATGTGCGTGCTTGGCTTTATCGGGCAGCTGCTTATAAACGTCTAAACGATGAGGCCAACTACGAAGATAGTGTATCTCAAGCCAGACGTTTAAACAGATCCCAGAGAGAATTTATCGATGATTTTTTGGACAAAATGCGTTCCCTTCTTTAAGGAAGCGCAAGTAAAATTGGTGGCGCTAAAAAATATAAATATATAACTATAACATTTTTAATATTGAACAGTTTTTTGTGTAGCTTTAATTTTTTTTAAGGAGGTGATTCTAATTATTTTAGTCAATCCTCATCTCATTTTCAAGCCAGTTAAGGTGAAAATCATTTAGTATTTTCCAGCCCGACTTCAGCTCCTTTCCTGGATTACCTCATTTCCGCTTCGAACACCTTTGAGTTGGCCGTTTCCACAACATTCAGCTGATTAGCCGCCCAGATTTTTCTCGATTTTTCTCTCCTCCTAATTAACTGGCAGCTCATAAAAGAAAAACTCCAACAAATTGATAAAGGATGAGAAGCAGCCAGGGAAAGCCATTGGGAAAATAAATTGAAAAAATAAACTTTTGTCTAACTTTCTCTCTCTTAACTTTCGACTTCCTCAAGGTGAGCTGGAGACATTTATTTTGCGCTTAATTTTTTTGTTTCTACCATTCATTTTGCCCCTAGGCTTTCCATAAAATGCACTTCAGATGTCCGAAAGCAATTTTGTAAAGTCTGATAATTCCATCTGACTGGACTGGATGGGCTGGTCCTCGTTTGGAGCCTTCTGCAGGCCATTAAGGCGAATGTCGACCGGCAGAAGTTGACCCAAATATTACTCAGCACATTCGTAGGCAACAAATTGCGACTCGAACTGCGTTTCTGGGGCTAATGTTCAAGTGGATGCTGCTGGTATACTGGTACTGGAATTCTCGTTCTCGAGTCCGACTTTTCCCTCTCAGTCAATTTGATTTTTTAATTAAATTTATTATGGCAAACAGCATAAAATTTTATGTGGTTAGTCCATTTCTGGGTCACACTGCTAATGACTCTTTGGGCCGGAGTCGGATCTCGAGATGCAAGCTGCAAGTTGGAGCAGGACATGTCCCCCAAATCCCCCCGGTAATCTGCTGCTAATGCCTTTTGGTTTCTGGTCTCTCTGGATTTTAGCTCTTCTTTCTCTATGCACTTGTTTATTTAATTATTTTTTATGAAATTCATATTTACCATTCGGCTGCCTTTTGGATTTATGGAATTTCTTTGCTCGAAAGCTGCAATATGTTTGTTGTGCACATGGTAAGTGGAAATTTATTTGTGTCTGGCTTTGACTAAACTCAAATCTCAATTGTAAGGTGGGCAATATTTCAATTAAAAATATTTGTCAACTTCGAAAGTATTTTTAATATATTTGTTTGTTGAACTTTTTAAATTATTCCGAAATTATTTATGGATTGTTAGTAAAAGCAAGGAAAGGGTTGCTTTTAAATCTTCAATATGCAATTAGGCTTTATTAAATCCCTAAATGTATTGGTCTACCATTTTCCTTTGATGAATTTGCTTAAGCTTTAGTAGGAAGTTTGCGGAAATTAATTTGTCTTTTAATAAATTTCCCCAATATTGTCCACGCACCTGAGCCCAGAATTTCACTCCACCACTTGCTGGACATAAAATAAAACGAAATTTAATTGAAGGCAAAGCCAAGGCTAAACGTTTATGCTGTGGTCGTATCTTTAAAAAGAAATATGTCCGCCCGAATGGGCCACGCAGCATTTACGAGTCTGTGGTGGCTGGACGGCACACGTTGCGTATACGCAACATGCAAGCAGCAGAGCAAACACATTGCGTATACGCATCATGCAGGCACCATAAACATTCGCAAATTAAATGTGTTTAATTGTGGCAAACAAAAAAAAAAGGAAGCAAGAGGAAAATGAAAAAACGAGAATACATAAAAGAAAGCGAGCCACAGGCTAAACAAAGTGGAAAGTCCTGGGAGCAAAAAGGTAATTAAAGCTGCCAGTGAAAGTTTTCACAGTCCTACATTGTTAGTTCAATCGCTCGGAATAATTTATTAATTAACTACAATTCGAATGAATGAATGAACGATTACAGGCAGTGGGCTGAGTTACAGGAGTTGGACTTTCTCCTCGGAGCCAGAAGCGACAATTCTCCAGTTCGCCAGTGCACGTAACAGGAAAATCAATTAAAAGCGCTTTATGTGCGCGACAGTCTTGGCTGTCGTCTTCGATTCGATTCGGTTCGGTTCTCTGGGTTTTCTGGGGTCCCTGGGTTCCCTAGGTTCTCTGGGTTCTCCGAGTTGTGGGACAAGTTTAGCGCCTGCCAAGTGGAACTTTGTTAGTTTCTAATTAATTGTTACAGTTACAGACGAACGCTAAAATTGACTGCAGCAGCTGCTGCTTAGCGAAACCAACTCCCAACTGTCCTCCTGCCAATTTTAGCAACCCCGGTTATTTATGCCGGATGCTCGGCATTATTTATGTTGCATATTGGGCGCATTGTAGTAAATTAACCAAGGAAAATTCCCAGGCCCTGGAAGACAGGAATTTTCCGGCTCCTCCTCCAAGCAGAGACACAGCTGGCTTTTTCCCTCTTTTCCGTTTATTGGAAATGTCACAATAACTTTACAGTTATGACAATTTTATGGCCAAGATTTGTGCCCGAACGCGGATTCCCCACCGAGATATTGGAAGGTAATCAAAATGTTCAGCGGTAATTGAATTTTTGACTTGGATATAAACTTGGCTAATGAAAGTTGAGCCATAAAATGAATATGGATTTTATCCTTAAATTCAGTTCAGCTTTAAATGTATATTGTCTTATTTTATTCTACCGACCCAATTTCGTTAACTAATTTTCCAAATGTTTATTTTTCATATCCGTTCTTTCAGATAATCTTCAAAAGAGAGGCAAATACATTCATACACAATCTTTTTCACTTCATTTTCTCATATATTGAGTGCTTGACCCTCGGGCTTAATCTTTAATCTTTCATTCACTTTACTGGCATTCTTTTTTTCCCCCAATGGATATTCAATCATCGGTCGTCTCCGTACCCGGGATAACATTTTCGATAATTACCCGTAAAATGTCTAGCTACCAACAATTGCCAACACTTTTCACATCCCACAAACATACACACATACATGGACTTGGCATCCTCGAAAAGCCAATTGAATGGAATCCCCATCTTCATTTCCGTTTTGATGGCCATAACCAGGAAGCCCCGGCTTTCAGCCCCCAATCCGCTGTCGATGGTATCCAATACTATCAATACTTAGCTAGGCGCCAAAGTCAAGTCATGAACTAGAAAAAGCGAGGGAAAATAAACGACAGCGGAAACGGAAAAGGCTTAACAGCTGCGCTCACCCGGACACTCAGAGATATAGAGATGATGATGATGGGGAAGGAAGGGAACTGGACACTCTCGAAATCCGTAAGCGCATAATCATGAAAATTGTCAGTACATAATGCCTCAGAAGGGCCGATAGCAAAGCTGAAAAGGCGGAAAAGGTTTTTACTCGCATCTTTACTTACTTTACACGCTTGACTTTGTGGATGGCCCCGATTGCTGACTTCGATGTGGCACAGTGGGACAATACGAATTGAAAAATTAAAAAAAAAAAGTTGAATAATTTGCAAATAATAAAAAATGATAATATATTCTTTTGAGCGATTTTAAGCTTTATTAAAAATTTAGCAGTGTAAAAATGCTCCAAACAATACTTTTTTATAACATTTCATCAAGATTAATACTTTAAGAAATATAATACATTTTTTAAGAAATATAATATATTATAATATCCATATTGATTAAATTCTAATAACATTGTACCACTGTCTGTGTGTCTCTTTTCCCCCTGCAAAAATTTGTAGAGCGGAAAATAATTTTCTTGCGCTTTTTATTCGCTCTCGTTTTTTATGGGTCGATTCGGAATGTCCTACTCAGTCCACTCTCCTCCGGTGTCCACTCTCGAAGGACCTCTTCCCTTCCTGGGCCTTCTGTGTCCTTTGCTGTCCTCGTATTAGCTACCCATCCTTTGCAGAAAAGCAGCAAAAGCAACACAAAGTTGAGCAAGAACAAGAACCCGACTCATAGTTACCCACTACTCACATCTCCTTTATAACAACTATATGTAATACCTTTTTTAAGATTGGATCGTTTTCTAAATTTTTTGGGATGTAGGTAGATATAGACCATATAAACTCTTCCCAATCAACTATCAGTATACTATCCATCTGTATTTTTTCCAATCCTGGTTTATAAAATCGAAGAGGTATTTATCCAGGAAAAACACATACCTTTTACTTCTTGGGTATACAAAAGTAAGTTTACTTTCACATGCCGGCCGCACTTTGATTTTGTTGTCTGACTTTTTTATTTTCCCTTCGATTCCATTTGTTGTTGCCATCGATGGGCGAATTCTTTAGCTTTGGCTGCTGGCGTTGGCAAAAATCAACTTTTGCACGTTTCGATTGTGTAAAGTTTTTATGGCTTTTTGATTTTTTTCACTTATTGCCTGCGCCGCTTCGGGCGAGTGTGAACGTGGACGAGGATGTGGATCTGGATGGGTTGGTGGACCTGAATGGGGGATGGAAACCCCACTGTCATCATCAATAAGGTGCCTCATTGAAGGCACTTAAATAATTACAAAATAATGGACGCCAATGGCACAATGTCGAAGAGACTTTTTAGCCACTTCGATGGCGAAAAAGGGGGAGAATAGTCGAGTCCTTAATGCAAATCGTGCCCAAGTGCCAACGAGTCGGTTTGCGAACTCTTTCACGTCAAGTCAAAGGGATATAGAAGCTCTCTGGAGGAAAAGCGAGCGAGGTATGCAAATATTTGGTAAAGCGAAAATCAGTAAGTGTACTGAGAGGGAAAGGCCTCTGTTTGTTGTCACTTTGATTTGTTTGCCTCATTGTAAATATTTAATGGAGCTGAAATAAGTGTGAAGAAGCTGAAATCTCACAGAAAATAGGGTTATCCATTTTTATTTTTCCCAAGTACTTTCATTTTCTTCGCGAAATACCAAAGAGCACAGCATATAATATATTTACCCTATTTGTTTATTTTATTGTACATATTTATCCGAACTTAAATTTAATTTTTTGTTACTTATTTGATTTTTCCATTTCAATTTGGATTAAATATTCAAATCCACTGCCGAATTTATTACTAACTTTTCCCGCTCTTAGTTCATAATATTTTATTTGCTTTTTGTCTATATTTTAGATTTCAAATATTGGCTTAAAAAATATTCCACTCGACAAAAACAAGTATGTACTCCACTTTCAGCCCGGTTGTTGTAATTGTTAAAATCCCATTTCAATTCCCCTGAGGTGGCCAGTGCACACAAAAGTTTAAATGAACACAAATAACATTTATTGATAACGAATTTACAGAAGTGCAGCCTTGCACACCAGCTTCCTCCTCCAAAAATTGAAATTGCTTAAAATATTAAAAATTTATTGCCCACTTCCAACTTCTTTTTGTATATTTTTGTTGCTTTATTTTATTTAAAGCGTAATAAATAAAATTAAATTATATGCAAAATGTATAAAAACCATGAGCAATTAAAAAAATAAACACGATAGTAGGAATTTACACACAGGCGAACAAAAAGAATACAATAAAAAACAGTGCAGCACGAGATAAATAAATAAATTGTGCATCAAAATGCGATTGAATTGTTTTTTTTCTGCTCGTCCTTCGATGTTTTACAATTTTCACAATGGTGGATAGTAAATATTTTAAATGTTGTCGTTTTTTTTTTGTATTTTCACTTACTTTGTCCTCAGTGTTTTTCATTTGTTGCGTATCATTTATATTTCAATTTTAATTTATATTCATTTGAATATTTGCTTGGGGGTGGGCCAGCATTTTTTGCCTACATTTTCGGGCACTTTATCGGAAAAAGCTCATAAGTTAATGGAGGCCAAGGAAGAAATGTGAGGGAATGGAAGGAGTATTGTAAATTCAATTGCTCTTAACAGTGAATTTCTCTTGAAATTAAATTTTGTTTGTTTATTACTCTGCACTGGAAATCCGATTGCTGATGCAACAATTCATTCTGAACTTTAAAACATTTCCGCAATTGGGTCAATTCTGTTTACCTTTGAAAAAAAGAAAGGTAAGTGCGTACTTGTGGCAGCGCAACAGTTTGTTTTGGGTCATTCAAAAAATAACGAAATAAATAATGATTGATTTTACGGAAATATGAAAAGTGGGTTAAACTTCAAGGCAATTAAATTTGAAGCGATTTAGCACCGACAGACAATAATATAACAATTACCCCTTTCATAGTTTAAGTAAAATATGTATTAAAGAATTAAAATATAGGTTAACATAACTTTTAGCCATGCCCACCAATTAGGCGTGAACAAGTTCTTTTAGTGGCACTTGCGCTATTTACTTATGATTACCATGTTGAATTTCCCCTTCCAAACAGACCAAACCGAACCGATTCGCTTTTCCCTTTGAGCATTTGCGGTTTTCCGGCAAAAGTTCTGCGGCCGCGTTGAGCTTTGATTTGCAAACTGTGAATGCGGGTGGGTCCCCTTATATTTTAGCATATTAAATTAAAGCAAATGGCTGAACCAGCCAGACAGCCCAACCCACCAGCTGCTGGCTGAGTGATAAATTTAAGTGCTGGCGTCTAAATAAGTGATGTCTTCACCACCGCGAGCAAGGCGAGGGCTTAGCTTATGACGGGGCCCTTGGGCTATGGGGAAAGTGGCGAGAGTTGGGAGAAAGTACAAAAGCCCGAGCCGCGACTGAGCTGCTGAATAAACAACTTTTGCATTTGCTTTCATGAACTCCGACTCGAAATCGGCTTAGACGACATCTGGCAAACGTCATTGCCATTGTCATTTATTCTCTTTCGTATAGCCAGCGTATTAGCTTTTCTTCTAAGCTCAGAGCATTTGATTACATTTCCAAAAATCTTGAAAATCTGTGAAGCCTACAAAAGCTGGAAGGTTATTCAAATACTTCATAAAGAGTTAATTTCCAACTGAATTCCAAGTTAAGGCACTTCTTTAATGTCCCATATAAGTACTATACTACTTTACTATCCTATTTTATTCTAGTTTTGATATCATATTACATTTTCTGGTTCTTTTCAAGGTTCTTTATCTTCCACTATACAAGCCACATATTATAAATTCCCAAATTCACTCATTTGCTTTCTTATAACCTTCGAATTTAATCAAGATATTGCACAACTGGGTTCACTGATTTGTCGTTCGGGATTATCACATCCATAATTCCACTCAGTGAGTCAGACAACCAGACCAACAGGCGGAAACCTTCATGAGGACCATAACCCTGGACACTCGCACGCGATTCGTGGCTCATACATCATCATCATCCGCATCTTCTTCGCTCCGACCATTATCCTTTAAAAGCTGGCTTGGACTCGATGTTTAAATATTTCATGTCCTGCCGAATGGGCAATGAAGGGGCGAGAGAAGGCTAAGGAGGCCTTAGCGACAGACGAAGCGGAGAATAAAAACCAAAAGGCAGAAGACGATGCCATATAAATAATGTAAAAAGTGTGAAATGCGCCTAATGGTGTGCCAAGCCCAAAGTAAAAGCGGAAAGGCTGGCGAAAGCGAAAAGGAGCCCATGAAATGGCGCATAAAATGACAATTGACAGCTGATGATATTTTTACTCGAATGTGCCGTCTGTAAAGCAACCGAATCGAACCATCCTCAAGCCATCCCATGTATATCATAAATATTTGATCGAACATCAGGTCTATGTAACATTTTCGTTTCTTGTTGCCAGGTAAGGGCTCAGAAAAAAACAAAAAAGCAACAATTCCAGTTTAAGTTTTGAACTCACCATCAAACTCAGATATATTCATTCGGTGCAGCCAAGGATCAATACCGAATTCCACATTACACTGTTTGCCGTTTCTTCCACGTTGTCGTTCCATTAAAATATATATAAAAAAAGAATAAAATACCCCCATCAATATGTCATGCAAGAACTGTCCACCCTACAAGAACTCCGAACTGGGCGTCTTCTTTCCCGACTGCTTCGAACGCGTCAGCGGCCATTGCAACAAGAAGAATCCCGGCAATGTGCAGAATCTGCACATCCTGGCCCATCGGGTCATGCCCAAATTCTTCGATGGCATCGAGCTGGACTACCTGCACCGGTTGGCGCCCAACAAGTACATCACGGCCGCCTGGGTTCTCAGCCACATCAGGGCCTCTGGTTTTCGATTCGGCGGCCTTTACACCTTCCGCGTCCAAGATGATACAATGGTGAGTTTGGGGCACACCAGTACTCGAAAATATTCAATAGTACCAATCTAAAGAAATTCCAATGACTTTGAATGATTGAAATAAAATGCTGTCAGAAAGGTTTATATAAAGTAAGAAATATCCCGAATCCATAATGGTATCTCAAGATATTAAAGACAAAACAGCAAAAAATTAGGGTATCAGCGCACTGCTCAAACCGTAACAGCCACCACAGCAGTCAAGTCTTTAATCATCGTTCACCATTTTCAATGGGAACCCAAAACTACACTGCTATGTTTTATAACTTGGGTAATTGGGCCCCGATTTAGTTGTGGGATACCTCTATGAATTTGTGGTGGAATTCTCTTATTATCTGCATAAAAATATTACTTTAAAAAGAGGGTTACAATTTTAACCCATTTTCGTGTTCGATTTTTCGGTATTTCCAATGGCTTTCCGTATTGGACCCAAAATTGCACTTCTAAGTGTCATAACATGTGTAAATGGATCCCGATTTTGACGTGGGATGCCTCTATGAATTCGTGGTGAAATTCTCTTATAATCTGCATCAAAATATTTCTTTTGAAAGAAGGTCACAATTTTAACCCATTTTCATGTTCGATTTATCGGTATTTTCAATGGCTTTCAGTACTGGAACCCAAAATTGCACTTCTAAGTATCATAACTTGGGTAATTGGATCCCGATTTAGACGTGGGATACCTCAATGAATTCGTGGTGAAATTCTCTTATAATCTGCATCGAAATATTTCTTTTAAAAGAAGGTCACAATTTTAACCCATTTTCATGTTCGATTTTTCGGTATTTTCAATGGCTTTCAGTACTGGAACCCAAAATTGCACTTCTAAGTATCATACCTTGGGTAATTGGATCTGGATTTAGACGTGGGATACCTCTATGAATTTGTGGTGGAATTCTCTTATAATCTGCATCAAAATATTTCTTTTAAAAGAAGATCCCAATTTTAACCCATTTTCATGTTCGATTTTTCGGTATTTCCAATGGCTTTCAGTATTGGAACCCAAAATTGCATTTCTAAGTTTCATAACTTGGGTAATTGGATCCCGATTTAGACGTGGGATACCTCAATGAATTCGTGGTGAAATTCTCTTATAATCTGCATCAAAATATTTCTTTTGAAAGAAGGTCACAATTTTAACCCATTTTCATGTTCGATTTATCGGTATTTCCAATGCCTTTCAGTATTGGAACACAAAACTTCACTTCTAAGTATCATAACTTGGGTAATTTGATCCCGATTTAGACGTGGGATACCTCTATAAATTCGTGGTGAAATTCTCTTATAATCTGCATCAAAATATTTCTTTTAAAAGAAGGTCACAATTTTAACCCATTTTCATGTTCGATTTTTCGGTATTTTCAATGGCTTTCAGTACTGGAACCCAAAATTGCACTTCTAAGTATCATAACTTGGGTAATTGGATCCCGATTTAGACGTGGGATACCTCAATGAATTCGTGGTGAAATTCTCTTATAATCTGCATCAAAATATTTCTTTTAAAAGAAGGTCACAATTTTAACCCATTTTCATGTTCGATTTTTCGGTATTTTCAATGGCTTTCAGTACTGGAACCCAAAATTGCACTTCTAAGTATCATAACTTGGGTAATTGGATCTCTATTTAGACGTGGGATACCTCTATGAAGTTGTGGTGGAATTCTCTTATAATCTGCATCAAAATATTTCTTTTAAAAGAAGATCCCAATTTTAACCCGTTTTCATGTTCGATTTTTCGGTATTTCCAATGGCTTTCAGTATTGGAACCCAAAATTGCATTTCTAAGTATCATAACTTGGGTAATTGGATCCCGATTTAGACGTGGGATACCTCAATGAATTCGTGGTGAAATTCTATTATAATCTGCATCAAAATATTTCTTTTGAAAGAAGGTCACAATTTTAACCCCTTTTCATGTTCGATTTATCGGTATTTCCAATGCCTTTCAGTATTGGAACACAAAACTTCACTTCTAAGTACCATAACTTGGGTAATTTGATCCCGACTTAGACGTGGTATATCTCTATGAATTTGTGGTAGAATTCTCTTATATTCTGCATCAAAATATTTCTTTTAAAAGAAGATCCCAATTTTAACCCATTTTCATGTTCGATTTTTCGGTATTTCCAATGGCTTTCAGTATTGGAACCCAAAATTGCACTTCTAAGTATCATAACTTTGGTAATTGGATCCCGATTTAGACGTGGGATACCTCTTTAAATTCGTGGTGGAATTCTCTTATAATCTGCATCAAAATATTTCCTTTAAAAGAAGGTCACAATTTTTACCCATTTTCATGTTCGATTTTTCGGTATTTCCAATGGCTTTCAGTACTGGAACCCAAAATTGCACTTATAAGTTTCATAACTTGGGTAAATGGATCCCGATTTAGACGTGGGATACCTCTATGAATTTGTGGTAAAATTCTCTTATATTCTACATCAAAATATTACTTTTAAACGAGGGTGAGATTTTTAACGCATTTTCATGTTTGATTTTTCAGTGTTTCCAATGGCTTTCAGTATTAGAACACAAATCTTTACTTCTAAGTTTAATAACATGGGTAATTGGTTTCCGATTTTGACGTGGGTTACCTCTATGAGTTTGTAGTGGAATTCCCTACTATTCTACATCAAAATTTTTTCTTTTACACGAGGATCACATTTTTAACCAATTTTCATGTTTGGTTTTTCAGTATATCCAATGGCTTTCAGCTCCCTTAACCCTGACAAAGTCGCAAAGGGGATTTTATTATTAATGTATTTTAATTTAAATTTTGATTTTAATATATTTAAATACCCTATATTTTCAGTACACCCCAACCATTATGGGCGACATACATCCCACGACGCTGGCGGCCAACCTGAATATCCTGTACTATCCATTCCAGTGCCTTCGCATGGAGGCCATTATGCAGAAGGCCAATGAGGCTGCTCAGGTGGAGAGTCAGTATACGATCGAGTGGACAAGGCAATGCGATACGTGGACCGCCAACTTCTATAATGTCCGGAATGAAAACGGACGATGCACGCTGTCCGTAATGAGATCGGTGTCCGCCCATTGGGCCCTCGGCGGAGAACTTCTTCTGGAGTGGAACGAACCCCAGAAACTGACGCCGGATCTGGCCCTTGCAGCTCGGTAAAATACCCTAATATCATAATCATTTATAAAAGAAACTGTATATAAAAATCCTCTTTATACGAATATAATCTTATATCATATCATATTACCTTTATCTCCCAGTTACTCCCACTATAACTATTCCCTGGCTGCCACCGCCTCGAGACAGGGTCTGGATGTTAGCTATTGGCAGCGCATTCATCCGCAAATTCAGATGGCCAATCTCCTGGCCTGGAATCGTAATACCCGAAAGACCATAGCCACAATATGCTATCAATGGAACTTCTGGAACTCGGCCGTCCATGGAATGTTCGACTCGGATGCCTCTGTGGGCTTTATGTGGACCAAGTGAGTATAGCATTGTTTTTGAAAGACTTATCTGAAATCACCGTATGTTTTTTACAGATATCTAAGGCACTTGCCGTTGCAAATGGGTTTCAGTGTGGTGATCAACCTGCCCACAGATCGATTTGCCTTCGGCATGCGTTTTGTTTTGGATCCGAGTGGCTTGAGACGTGGCGAATAATTGTATGTTACTGTAATTCTTTTATTTTATGTACTACCAAATTATCTATTGCAAGTCTAAGTCCAGAGTTCAGAGAATTACAAATTTGCTGTTGGGAAAACTTTAAATTCATCAGAAGTTCCAAAGAAGTTTTCTGCCACTTATTTTAATTAGTTTTTTGATCTTCAAAATACATTTGTGGTGGAACTTGGGTGAAAAATATTTTTTATTTAAGCACTTTTTAGCCACACGTTGCACATTAAAAGCCAACACATACTAACAGAATCGAAAAAGTTTTTCCTTCTTGCAGCAGAGGAAGAAAACTCGCATGCATTTGATTTATGCGCTGGCAAGTCTAGACACTGTAAATATTTTTTAATGCCAGCACGAAAGACCAGAAATCTCGGCTCAAGAGGGAGCTAAGAAATTTATATGTACTTACACATGGACATATGTATCTATAAATCCTAAAATAAATACAATTTACACAATAAATTTGCCCGACCACTCTCAGCTGAGTTGAGTATAATTTAGCCCGAAAAAAAGATAATGGCTCTTAATCCGATATAGAGCTCAGAAAAATTCCCAGATGGTTCACTGCATGACCCATAAACCGGAAAAAAGATGGACAAAAAGGAGTAGCCGAGGCCTGGGGCAAAACTTTGAATTGATTTTTGGTTTTGGCCGGAACGAGAAAAACTTTTGAGCCAACTGAATTTTCTTGGGCAAACATTGGTTGGCTTTAATTTTCAGGGTTTCGTGTGTGTTTGGGTTGTGCCATGAAAAGTTTTTTGCATGCACCCACACGGACATTCACTTATGGAAGCAAATATTAATATTTCAATAAATGCTGTGAATCCTTTTCCCAGCCTACCCAAAAATATACCATCATCAAGGGGGTAAGGCAGTGTAAACTTTTCCCTAAAGTCCCCGGGGGCAGTCTGCCTATCCCTTTACACTTCGCCCGCTTATCGACGCCTTTACAAATCATTAGATTTTCATATCCGATGAATTTTACAACGATTTAAACAACAAAAAGAGCCGAGACCGAAACACAAATTTTCTGTCTCCTGCTTTTGCAATTTTTCGTCCTCGATATGTCAATTTGTTGTCTTTTTCCACGCTCATATGTGGGCAGAAATAAAGTGGCAGTCTGAGGAAAAGGGGCCCATTTCCACGGTAGTGTCGCCCATTTTATGTTTATTTAAACTTCCCTCGTAGGCGGTAAATGGAGAAATGTGTAAAAAGAAGCCCAGAATCAGCCTTAACAATGGCTGCAGGAAAAGAACAAAGGAAGCGCAGGAAAAATAATATGCAGAAATTCATTACAAATATATTTTCCGAGAATGCGCTGAGTGGAGCCTTTTCTTTTCATGGTAAAATTATTGAATAAAGATTAAAGACATGTGATATATGGACTGATTCAGAAAAAGGCAGTATTTCACAAGCGTCTACTTAAAGTGTAAATACCTTTAAATATGTTTAAATAAAAGATGTCCCCCTAAACCAAAACTAGTTCACCTAAATTTATAACCGACTAGCATAAAACATCAGCTTAAACAGAGTAAAATGTGCATACAAATTTTTCATGGACCTGAAGTTTTTTCGCTTAAATGGGAAAACAAAAAAAGAAGCGTACAAAAGAAAAAAAATAGAAAAACAAGCAAAGAAAAGTGAAGGGAAATGCTTGTTTGCCTGCCACACCGACCAACATTTGTGTTTATGTTTCGAGTGAGGAAAAAACACCAAAAAACAAACACACACATTATGTTTTGCTTGCTTTTGTTTTCCTTGGCGTTTTGGGTTCGCCGAGTGGAAAACATATTTAATTAAAGCTATCCGCATATTAAAAACTTTTTCTCCTCCATCTTTCCCTTCGGTGCTTATATTTTACACTCGGCTTGAGTTTTTCCGCTGCATACTTTTTGGCTAGCAAACTTAAGCTTGCCACATTACGTAGCATAAACAAGAAAATTCTGAAAGGGAGACGCTTTAAAAACAAAACAACAACAAAAAAGCAGAGCCCCAAGGCTCCAACGGGGGTCACTCTCAAGTTTTATAAATATGCAAAATTTTAATGAATTTTTGTTTGCTGCCCGCCCGCAAATTGCCTTCCATTTGCCCCCCGAAAACACAACCCCCGCCCCAAAGCGCAATATCCATTCATTTCAATGGGGGTCTGCCAAACATTTAAGCAGCTTTAAAATGCGGGTCAACTGGGTGAACCTGAAGCTTTTCGCTCTCGATAAGAAGGCCAAAAGTGGAAATTTAAGCAAACAATGACGAGAAGGGTAAGGTAAAAACCAAGAAATTGGAAAGCGAAAGGAGAATATTTCAATACGAATAGTAAATGCTCTTTAAACAAAAATAAAATTACGGTTTACTAAACTGAGTGAGAATATAGTCATTGAAAATATTATAAACATAGCTATCATGTTTTTTAAAATAATTATTATATCACACTGTTTGGTACGATCTTATATCTACTTAAAAATTATGTTCTATTATATTATGTTGAATAAATATACACATTAAAATAGGTTTTGAAAGAATTGGGTTCCCGTTTATCTACATTCTTTGTATTTTAACAATTCTAAAAACACATGTTACCCAATTTAGAATAATTTTAATAATACCCATAATCGTGTGTGCCCTTCACTATCAAAGAGTATTGAGGCCTATGCTTTGTTTCCTATAACAACCCAGCTTTTTACACCGCATTTACAAAGACAAAGGGGAATATTGAGTACTACAGTACAGACCTTTCTTCAGACCTTATTAACAGGAAAAGCGTAAAAGGAAAGTGCCGTAAAACGGGCTTACACACGCACACACTCACACACATTTCCCGCTTGACCTGTTGGTAATTTCACCTCTCGAGTGAAAGTCATAAAATGGTTATAAAATTGGCAAACTTTTAATTTAATTGCTAGCGCACTTTTAACTCAGAACTTTGGTATCTTTTTCTGATATTTTTGTTGTTCTCTAATTCAATTCTCAGGCACCGCAAATGCTGTTTGACTTGGTATCGGATTAAACGGGTCCGCGCATTAACATAATCAGCTCACATGTGGGCGGGCCTTGGGGGCGGGTGGTTGGCCTCCAAGGCAGGCAACAAGTGGGTGGCAATGGGTGGTTGTGGGCGGTGGCAAGGCCACAAGGCATTCAGCTGAATGCCAAGTAAGTAGCTCTTGCGCAGGGCAAAGTAAATGCGCTTAAACGCATTAAAAGGCAGCAAAGCGTTTGAGCAGGCCAGGATGTATGTTTAGTCGAAATGGCAGTGGGAATGGGCATGGCTGCAAAGGGCTGGCTGAGCAGACTAATGTCCTGGCTAAGTGGCCAGGCTAATGTCCTGCTTAGCCCCGACTTTGCCCCATGATATGTGCTTAGGCAAAGAAGGTGAGTCAAGGAGTTACAATCTAGTAAGTACTCACAGATGATGGGCCATGATTACATTTGCTTGTTGCAAAGTATTTTAAAAGGTGCGGCCACCATCAAGGCAAAACGCTTACTGGCTTTTACGAGTATCTGGAAGAAAAACCATCACAATTTTAAGAGAACTCCTTTTAATTAAACATTATGAACGCTAGTATACGTTATTAATTAAACAGAGAAGAATTGGAAAATTATTAGTTAATTAAGAACGTTTATGTTATTTTTTTCCCAGCATTCGCATATATTGTATGGATGAGAAAAGATTTTAGAAACTATTGTTTATATATACACTTTCTTGATATTTGTATTTATTTTAAAAACCACATCAGCTTATAAAATGTTGCTAAGCTGTGATTTGCAAAGTTCTAACTTTTTTAATACTGAAATATTTTAATTACATCCCAAAACAATCGTTTAACCTTTAATCTTAATCTTTTTTAACCATTATATTTTTCAATATCTTAAGTTTCAAGTAAAGGCCCCTATAGGTCCTCACTTTCACCACAATTGGCGGCCATTTTTATTGGCTCTATTACCCCGACCCCGAAAAGCGGAGGAAAGAATAGGAAATGGCGGGAAAAGCGGGGAATGAAATCGCCATTGGGGCAGCTGTTCATCTTACAACAGGAAACGGAAATTGTCTATGGGTTCCGCCTGCCTTTGGTTTCCTGCCTATGTGTGTGTGTTTAGGTGTGCTACAGAGGGTGTTCGCCAAAGTTTTCCTTTCACTAGGTGGACTTCATTTCTTTTCCCTCCTTTGTTTTCCAATATAGCCAATTCAAGTACTGATGCTGTTCGAAACCAAAGCAACACTTAAGAGAAGTGAAATGGGGGACCCTAAGCGCCTGGCAGTTGGACAGTTTAAGTGACGTTTATAAAGGTTGTTGCCACTCTTTATTGGTTATGTCTGGGGGTAAACAGATATTGAAGATTGTCAGGGTGAAGTTCTGAACTCGTATAACCTCCTAATGATTAAGGGGAATTTTTAACGATTTCCAATATATATATATTTTTTTAAATAAATGTATAATTGCATTTATAAAACTATGTTAAATGCTAAGAAAAAAAGTGCATTTCCATTAAGTTTTCGAGTAACCGCAGGAAAAGTGGTGAAAAAGCGGCGTTAAAAAATAATTAAACTGTCAGAGGTCCTGGTGCTGTCAATTACAAGCAACTTTTCCCCCTGCGATTTCTAGCCAAAAGGCGCAGCGGGAAAAAATTGGTTCACATAAACTTGGGGCTTGGCAAATGCCAAATGCAGTTGAATGCAAATTTTTTCTCATATTTAAATGGAAAATCAAACGGCGCGCTTCAGCTGTCGAAATTGTTGGTTGCTGGATGCCAAGGGGAAATGAGAAGCAGTGTCTGTGTGGTGCATTTGAAGTGCGAGATGCCTAGAACTCGATGTGTATATAAAAATAGAATTTCAATTAAATTCTATCAACTCTACCGTATGAGCCTGCCAAATGCATTAACCCAAAAGCTGATGGGCAAAAATTGCGTATACAAAAAAAAAGGGAAACTACTTAAAGCACCAAGCCAAACTTTTTCAATTGCCAAATTAAAATGGTGATGAAAGGATTCGTTTGGCGTCCGGTTGAGGTGGCAAACTGATACGCCCAGTCGACTTTTTGCGCACTTTGCCACTTGTTTATTTACCGCTTTGCCTCGTTGCCGCCCAACAAAAACAGCAACATCAACTAGAGCAACTCA